CCTCGGAGGGTATATGAGAGGCCTTCATGCATATTGATGAGGTGGCCCAGCCCACTGACACCTGCAAAAGCTCTAGCAACGAATCTCTTGTGGAAGAGATGAATCTGGGAAGTAAAGGGGCATCTTCGATTCGGTAAGAGAAGACTGATCTTGGCCTGATCTGGATAGCTTTTTGACAGTGTTACCTTGTTGCTCAGGGCATTCCCTTTCGGAAGTGGAGCTTGAAACAAGACGTCGGCGCTTGAGACCCTCGGCAAATAATATAAAAGCGTTGATCAGGAAGGAGAAGACGGCAACGACGCTGGCGTGGCAATGCACTCGACGTTGAAAGTGATATCTTCAAGGCCGAGACCATGACCGTGAGTTCTTGGCTGGCTCCTTGTTTTGATCAAAGACCCCAAGATCTTTTTCCTTGACAAGGTCAAGGAGTAATTGCACTGGAGTCCGGAAACCGGCGGAGCCCAGTGAGGTGGCGAGGACTCTCCGATGCCTTGTACCCAGATGTGCTTTGCAGCTCGGCACCCAAGTGATGAACTTCGAGGGCAGTATGGGTCACCCAAACAGGCAGCTTGTTCTCACGAACAATGTATCCCGACACCCCACCATGAGTGTCTTGTGAAAGAGTGAATCTGAAAAGTAAAGAGCCCTGAATGGGCATCGGGCCTGACGTATGAACGGCTGGAGGGGAGTTGGCAGCTGCATACATGCGCTGTCGTCTTCGTCGTCGCAGGTGAGACGACGACTCATGAAGGCAACATGCTGGGTAGACAAGTAAATAATAAGATCATAGAACCCGAGCTTGTTTCCGGCGCTCAAGCCATGAGCTTTGAATGCTGAAAGATGATTCAAGATGGATTGTCAACTCGAACACTTGCTTGGACTCAGCCATAGGCGGGTTATGGTTCTGCGATGAACCATGCTTTCGAGGCCCGTCACTGCCCGTTGCTTTGACCATGATTGGATGCAGACGCGGAGACAAGCCTTATGGCCAAGGTTGATTTGGACTCTTGGTTGCTGCTCGCTGATTATTCCATGCTCTTTGGCGAGCGGCCATGAGCTGATGGGGAAGGGTAGCGTTCTGCTGTCACAGGCGGCTTTCCTCGATCTCCAGCTCCGTTAGAGCCACCTTGAGTGTGTGTTAGCAAATGAGCTTCGAGTGGTCTCGCAGCCAACCTGCACAGGAAATAGAGAAGTGTGAGTAGCTTACCATCAGCAGCGGTGCCATTATCATCATCAAGAGAGGTGATGCATCTTGACCAAGAACCTGCATCTTGCACAAGATAGTGGACTTGGTGCATGTTTGGAATGGTCGGGAGGAGCTGAGAATTTCACTTTCAGTTCACTCAGCAAGAGAAACCTGAGGAGCAAAACCTGTGTACCTGAGAGAAAGCCCAGGTGGGGGTAACCGAAGCAAACGGAATCTTTCTCTCCGAGGAGACGCGTGACTGGTTCGCGGCCGCAGTGCTCCCTTGGCAGTGCTGCGAGGTCGGGCAGCTTCTATCAAGTACCATGGTACCGCTCGAGGGCTAGTCCTCTTTACGTAAACGAATGCACTGGGACTCTCTCCTTTCTCGGTGAGCATGAGACTTGGCAGATTTGTAGACACTGGGCTATAAGCCTTCCATATTGTATTTATTGAGCTTAGCTATGAGACGTGCATTGGTGGTTGAACAATAGAAGTGTTCCATGTGATGTTCCTGAACAATCATCCTGTCTACTCAGATATCACTCCACCTTGATATTAAAATGATCCCTTCTCTTCCGAGGGATGGAACGGCTGTGCTTCTCCTTTAATGGCGAGTCTAAAATCATGAAGTCACCGGCTGTGATGCACTGGCAGCTGTCATGCCGAGAATTCGAGTATCTTGTGCCAGGGGAATTTGGGCTAGCGGGTCTGGGGCATTGCGTCACTGAGAATTATGGCACCTCTGCCTTGAACTCCTTCTATGGAAGAGATAGTATGAAAATGAAATAATGAGAACTTGAGTTTCATTTTGAGGTTCTTGTGTTCTTGAAATACTGGTGAATATCAATGTGTTCTCTGCGCTCAATATGATGGCTGTCCCCCTATTGCTTGTTCGGACACTCCAACTTTTTGGAACAGTTGACTACCATAACAACGCGCTATCAGGCAGTGTAACTGAGACGACCGCGAAGCCTTTAGAAATGTGATGCCATGATACTAGCTCGAAATGCAGCCTAGAGGTTGGCGCGAATGGACAAACAAACGCGTTGCCCCGTAACTTTGGCAATCACATCTCGAAGCGCCTGCTAACCGGCACAGAAGTGTCAATTCTTGCTCTTGACCTTATTTACTTGATCTGAATCCTTCCTCCATCATTATTCTGCTCTCCAAACAACACACTACAGATCAAGAAACCATCACATCTTCCATTCCGAGACATCCCTCTTCTAGCGGTTTTCGTCAACTATTTACCCCTTTATCAACCTCTTGCTACTTCCAACACAATGCTTTCTCTTACCCGGGACGAAATGACCGATTTGGCCGACAACATCTACACCATCTTCACCCTCGCCAAGCTCGAGGAGTTGTCCGTCCGCCAGCTCGGCCGCTACCTGAAGAACCAGGACTTCCGAGACTTCTACTACCACGTTGTCGGAGTAGAGAAGGGAAGCCGCCATGACGGCCGACCCGAGTCCATCCAACCTTGGCTTGACCAGGCTTCTATGAAGCTCATTAAGAAGGTATGTCTAATCTTGTCCTGTTTCGCAACGTCGCTAATCAAGTGGTGTTATGCAGAAGTCCGCGGGCGAACTCAAGGCACTTGAAGGCCTTATCATCTTCTGAGCATCAGAGAACTTCCCTTTCGACTTGCCTACCGATTCTGGTCCCGGTCATAGTCGACAAGTTGTATGAAGCGACTCCAGTCGCGTGTGTTGAGCGCCAGTTATTGTTCGGGATCCCCATGTCAGTTCTTGGCCTTCTTCTTGGGTTGTGCACTAAGCTAACAAGAATGGCCCAGGTATCTCTATGGGATGGCACGGATGGGTTGATCCCTTTGATATCAGTATTGTCTCGAATTTATCGGAGTGTCGGTGTTCGTGGCCTTTTGTTCCCCCATGTTCGCGTTTTACTGCGTCCCCCTTTCATGAACGGGAGTCTCTTCATGTTATCTAGGCATCCGATTGCACCAACACCTGGCTTATTCCTTACTGCGCACTACATGTGTATCTAGAAATCCTCACTAAAGGGAGCGAGACAGCGGCCGAATGAAAGCGAATAGCAGCCCATACGTGTGTCCTTGTCAGTAATGACTCGAGAAGCCTCATCCATGAATCCTACTCGTGATATAAATATTTAGGTCTACCTTCACCAACAATGAGGTCCGAGTCAACGGATATCCAGGCAGCTCATCACGAACTGCCGACATCCGATACCTGCCGCCATAATCCACCTTCTCATGATGCGGTCTGACTAGGATGCCGGTGCTGGCTTGCTATTGTGGCAATCAAGAGTCTCCGAGAACCGAGCCTTGAGTCCTACTTATTCTGGAGACTACACAGAGCTTAATGATGTTAACCGTTGGTAGGGTGTTCTTCCGTCCATCACCACGGGTTCTACAATGGAGAGTAGTGCCCTCGGTGAGTCTGAGCGTGCCAGCGGCACGTCGGGGTCTTAGCATATACCCTCACAAATGGCAGCAACTTACTGGTCTATGAATCACGCCCCCGGATTGAGACCGGAAACCAGAACGTCATCTTTCATTAATTATCAACCATTTTCGCTTTGTTTCGGACCCGAAATTATATCTTTCTTTCCCAGAACCTAACTCAACGCCATCCATAAATCGCGCTGAAATCACTGGACACGCCAACTAAACCTTGGAGTTCTCTATGGCTGTTATGGATTTGGGCCTCCCTACTGAGTCTACCCGCTGTTTACCACGGTCATTTGATGGTTCTGTGCACGAGTCATTTGGGGGAGACGATCTATTGTGAGGTCCTCAGCTCTCTCTCCCGTCGTGAGGGTTCAACCGACCATCTCAAAGAGCCGCAGCTATTTACAGAACGGTAACCTCTGAGCTTCTAAATCCATTGTCGGTCCCCCAAGAAACTTCTCATCAAATTCATTCTGCTTGCGTTTACGTCGTGCGTGTTCCCTTGGAGTTTTCACTAGAATGGTTAGCCGAGGGATAACGAATGGCTGGGTCAATGTAAAACTGTACCTCTGGTGTTTGTATCGAGTGTGCTGTCAACGACGTTCTCGTCATCTCCGCTGGTAACACGAGGATTCTTTGCACTTGAAGATCGACCGGTCAGCCTCTGGTCAAGCGTTGCCCACTAGGATCGCAAGAACATACCGGGAGTTAAACCACTTGGACAGCAGGAGCAGGCCAGTCTTTTTCGTTAATGGCGCCGCCAGACTCGGTGATTGTCCCGTTGACATCTTTGGTGATCTTGAGGAGATTTTAATGAAAACGCCCGGGTAGTGGAAATGTTTATACTGACGTCTGGCAAAAGGTTGTAGACGGAGGACTGGGCCCTGGCGAATACTTTCACCTTCTCGAGGTTGTCGGCGGCGCAAGGGGAATCGGCCCCGGGAATCAAGGCGACAAAATCGTAGAAGTAAAGATACATTGAGTATTTTTCAAAGTCCTTTACAGTAAACTTCCGAATATTGCGCAAGATTTGATGGTTAAACTGCTTTTTAGCCAGCATGGCTTTTTCGGATTCATCAAATGCTTTCTTCATCTTGGTCGACCCGGTAAAAAAGAAGAATGGGATGAGTTGATGAGTACGAATGACAGTGGTAGTTGGGATCAGGATAAAATAGTCGAACAACGTCTGTGTTCGTGGTTGATGTTGACGGTATTGTTTGTACAATGCTCGGTGGTATGAAGGATTAAAAAAAGGCGGGAGGGGTCCGGCACAGGAGGTTTGTAAAGGCTGCAACGGGCAGATTTACTCGGCGACCTAAGCGTTTGCAGCTGGTAGTCCCAACGGATGCCAGGCAGTGCCGATTGTGCACAACGAGATAAACTCGGATTCTACAAAACGTCTAGAGGTAGGTTTGAGAGTCTACTCTGATATCAGAGCGTCAAGTAACGGGATCCTTTGACTCAGGCGGCGCCTACGTAGAGGAAATGAATGAATGATGAACATATATCCTGAACTAGAACAAATCCTGTAACCAATCTCCTGAATGCGACTCATCCCTGAGCCTTCCCTTGTTCTACTTAGCCTACGCTCCCGAGAGTACAATGCGAACACTAAATGAATTTTGTGGCAACTCCCGTCATCTCGACCATCGGTCCATTGATTGAATCGTAGCTATTTACGAAATGAGGATTGAACTACATTTCCAAGTCCCAGATCCACCTCCGTTGCCAGTTATCGATTAAACCATGTCCGGAGAAGTAAAGGACGAAACGACACCGGTCAGATTCCTCCAACTGAACCATGTTCCCGTTCTCGTTACTTCGTCCTGCCTTGTGCTGTTTGGATTCGGCTTGGATTCGGGCTTACTTATCTAGAAGACTTCCTAGGATTGTCAGCTGAGAAATCAAGAGTGGTAGGATGAGTGTACACTTTTACCCATTGCGATTCTACTCGGCAATGCGATTGAAACCCCCTTTGTCTTCTCGTGTCCACTGAGCGTCGCTTTGCGAGGATCACTCGGGCCAGAAGCAGCATCCACGTCGAATAATCGGGGCGAAGATCTATGCACTGTCTCGAGTTCCTTGCGAGTAGACAAAAGTCCACTCGTTCTCTGATCAAGCGTCGTAACGAGACAGTTACAGCACTTCCTCGTAAAAAGCGCACCCAGCTGAGGTTGTGTAACTAGTTTGTTCCTTCGAGAGCTCGAGTCTTTTCTGGTTCACACAATGTTAGTCAGAGCCTCTGGGCATCAAAAAACTTTCATACCCACGGAGGAAGCGAATCTCTGGATTTTCCCGTTGGCGATACCGTCGATGATTTTGCTACCCTAGGCATCCAAACGAGTAGTTCATGGGAGTGACGGAAGATGTGGTATTATTCACGTCGTCGGAGGGTAATATTTGAAGTTGTAAACATTCCGACCGGAGCCCCTTGAGTAATTAGTGTCTGTTCCTCGTTGGCGACTAGTTCCATCATCTTGGGAAAGACAAGCAGTTCGTGAACGTGGGCAAAGGAGCCAAAAAATCGATTGTCGAGGGAACAATGGACCGGGTGGAAGTGCTGAATATGTTTGTGAGTTGAGTCTTTGGTGCAGTCCAGGGTAATATGGAGGGGCAGAAGTCAGAGGTGTCAAGCCTACAACAGGTTGATTTCTCGACATGCGCTGTTAAACCAGAGATGCCAGAGACTGACAGATGTGTGCATCAGGAATTAATATTGACTCTACTTTGGTACAACGTGTAACCGAAGAAGTAAGAGTCTGTCTTTTTGCAATCCGTCCAATGACAATAGCCTTATCCTAGGCATACCCGACACAGAAGGGAAGAGAACACAAGAACATATATGCCCATTCCAAGAACAGCATCCAACCCCGCCAAGCAAGAAACCAACATAGCAAGTAGACGAGGAATCTTCAGTCGGAACGGTATATCGGATGATGTCGTAGGCCCCACAAGGCAATAAGGTCGTCGCCCCGGAAAACATAGCCCGAGGGGGTCGCGAGAGTCATGTCATCAGGCCCAACCTTTCGAAGTCATCAGTAAGACCATGTAGTTTAACGGGAGGCTTTTACTAACCCCTTGTTCAACTCGGAACTTTATACTTTTGTCCTCAGCGAATCTCTTCACGCATCGGTATTGATCGACATTTCGAGCAAGTAGTCCATATGGTACTGAATGCTGTGTCCAGCATAGTACTGTTCAATGTCTTTGTGCTCTTCATAAATTAGGTCGATGATGATCTTGATATCATCCATGGCATTGAAGATCTCCGAACGCGTGCTTGTTCCCGGAATATATCGCATGAAGTTCTCGAAAAAGAGGAACTGGCTCTCGAATTCAAATGTTTCGAAGGAGATAACGTTGATCCTTTTCAGCAGGATGTAGTGGTATTCGCCATGCGACAGGTGGTACTTCTCAAGGGGATCGAAGATGCTTTCTTGCTGGAGGAGCTTTTTCGGCATGGTAGATAATATTCTTGAAAAGAGACGTTGTTTGATTCAAAAGGAGAAGAGAAAATAGAAGGAAGGGCACAGGTAAGATGAAAGGGTGGTTTCCTGTAGCCCGGATTGACAGAGTGCTTTAGCAGTGACGAGATCTCGGAATTAGGTAGTTGCCGTTGCAGCGGGCAGATGGCCTACAGAGGTACCCGGTACCGGAGACAATATAGGTCCAGACGAGACTCTGCTTCTAATAAAAAGGCACAAGTGAAGACTGTATTCTTTTTACTTGGTACAGCTAAACAAGGTAATGCATCAGGGCACAGATGCACATCTCCAAGACCGACTCCTGGGACCGGCCTCCTGAACGACTGGTTTACTGCAACTTAGTCATAAGTGTATCAAAGCTGGCCACTGTATCGTCAAAATTGGCTACAGATGTACAAAGGCGTTGAGGGAAATATCGAAAGAGAAGGCGGTGTTTGTATTGTTCGGTTTAATCTTGCTCTTGACGCTTAGAAAGGTTCTGATACATCCCCTTCTGTGTCGCGTTGCTCACATAGCCATATACCCCCTAACTCCATGACCTCGTTCCTCCATGACCTTGTTCCTCCTTGCCTTCTGGCTTGATGGGAGACCCTGGATATAGATTCATAGCGCGATCAAATCATCACCATGAAAAACATAACCACTTGGTGTCACCACGACTCGACGTTCTTCCCAGTCGGCAGCTATCTTGACCTTTGAAGAAGCGTTACGAGGGGCTTGAAACTGTTCAAGGGGCTGTACTAACCTCTGCTCTGAGCTTGTAAACAACGACTTTGGCCTTGGCGAAATGCTTGAGGCGACGAAATCGTTCCGTCGCAGAAAAGGTCGGTTTTCCGGGAAGTGAAAGAATAAAATTTTGAAAGAAACGGTACTGTGACAGATCTTCAAAGTCTTCGAAGGTGATCTCTTGCAGTTTTCGAACAACGGTTTCCGAGTTGCGGCCCGCGAACATCACTTCCTCTTCGAAGTCGGTGAACACGTTCGTGTGAGGCATGGCGGCGGTTGATAATAGTAACAGTGGTGAAGATAGGCGAAAATTTGGTGTCTTTTGAAGGTTCAGTGTTGGTGTAGAAATCAAAGGAAGATGGTAGGGGCAAATTCTCTGTGGTCAAATGCACTAGTTGCCGTTTCAGTGGGCAGTTGAACTGCAAAGGCACTGGAAGAAGTCAAACACACTTTACAAACGGAACACAAAGGACATGTACCTATAAACAGTAGTGCCCAGACAAGTCAAGACAGCACAGGAAACTACAAATATGGTCCAATATTAGGCAAGAATCTTTATTTTGTGTCTCTACTACAACAACAATGTTCTCAAGCCTTAGTAGAAAAGAAATCAAAACACCTAAAAATGAATAGGATTGCCAAATTCGCGTAGTATCGTGATGATACTTGAGGGCATCGTACATCGATGATGTACTATAATACTCGTGACATCTTCCATCCTTCGAACCTCTCCTTGGGCATTTTACAGGGCAATGAGATTGTCATTGTAAAAGGTGTGGCCAGACTTGGTCACTTCAATGAGGACCATGTCTTCCTTCTCGAGTCGCCGCACCTATGGAAGATAGACATCAGTAACAGCTTCGAGTTCTCAGGGGTGTATATACTAACCGCAAAAGTCTTGACACGGGCAAAGCGGCAAACTGCCGACGGGGTGTTGTACTTTCCGATTCGAGCAACGAAAGCCCGAAAGTACGAAAACAGCGACTCGAACTCATACTCGTCAAAGGTAATGTAGACGAGTTTCTTCAGGACCGTGCGGTCATGCTTTCCATAGAAGAGCAGAAGCTGCTCAGTAGTGCAAAACATCGAGGTTCTTTCTGGAGTTGCTGCGGGCTCGATAAGATCGCCGCCTGTATAAATCATGGTGCTCTGCGATTCCATAATGTTGAGTTGGGTTGGGTTTAGACAAGGAGGGTCTTGTGACGATTTGTTCTGTCCGTAGTTGAAGGTGTGAAATAGTTTAGTTGTGAAGAAGTTGAAAGGCTTGGGAGACAAAAAGATAAGGGAGAGGTTGCAGAGAAGGTCTGTAACAGTGACAGGTTTCCTGTGGGTAGACAAACGCACTAGCTGGTCCCTCGTAGTTCCAGACGGACCAGCCTCCTCCTGGCACTACCAACTACACAAGCTACATAACCTAAGGGTCTGGTCTAAACCGGCATAACTTTAGTCCCATTCTTTCGTCTCTTATGCTCCTATTAGTCCAGACTTAGGGTAGCTGGAGATGAAGGTTGTTATGGATGGATTTCACATGAACAACTCAGATATTGGAAGAGCGGCAACCTCATGGAGAAGAAGATGGTACACTGAATAGATAGAGAGAGAAGTAATTCTACCCCAGTGCTCACTTGACCCCTGTCTACTTTCTAGAACATACAAATTCGTGCTATCCAAGACGTTGAGCTCCATTATCACGATGGTATTGTCCGTATGAGTGCCTTGACAACTCTACCAAAACAAGATGCTGGAGATGTACTAATGCGAGTGCCTAGAGCTTAGACGTAACGTAATTTGCATCTCAATAGCGAACTCGTTTGCATAGCAACGTACTTCGTAGTGCCAGCGCACTGGGCCCGTCTGGCACTGCGAAGGCCGCCAGGGAGTGTGTTTGCTACACTACAGGAGATTGACCTCTTTGAAGACCTCGCTCGCCCTCTGTCTTTTCCCCACCCAACAACCTCAGTCTCTCATCGGAACAGCCCTTTCACGCATCACAAAAAAGCCACTACACATCACAAGATCCTTCAACATTGAAAGAAGCCCCCTTTCCATACACTTTCATCGTTCAACTCTCCTACCAAATCTATCCAACCCTTCAACGACAGAGAAGATGTCCACTGCATCGGATGTGGCTCGAGTTTTCACGGACACTGAAGAGGAGACATATTCCATGTTCTCCAAACCAGAGCAGGCTATGCTTTCCAAGGGCAAAGTCAACCGGACTATCATTGAAAAGATACTGGACATGAAGTTTTATAACTACCAGTACGAGGCGATGTTTCGATTCTTCGAAGCATTTCTCTGCACCCTCCGGGGGTGGGGGTTGACCCCTGACACAAGTCGACAGTTCAGACTACTCAAGCGATTTGCTTCGGACACAAACTACGACTACTACATGGAGGACAAAGTTAGTATATACTGCCGTGAGAACTCACGTTGTTGCTAATCTCTCTTACAGGCCCTCAAGGAGAAGCAGGAAGCTGTGGAGGTCACTCCGTCAGGCCATATCTTCAAGGGCGATGATCTTATCGCACTTTAAGTCAAGGGTTGATATGACTAAATGGGAGGAACGGTAGTCAAGGTATGAATTACGTCCTTGAGGCTGGGCAAACATTTTGGTATGAGAAGAGGACCAGTAGCTGACAGACTGTGACTACTACCAGGATATGAACTACATACCGCTCCCAGGTAATGGGCCATACGACAGGACTTTATCCTCAGGATAGTCTTCATTTAGGACGAACCCAATACTGCCTTCCGCGACTTTCTTTCCTAGCGTTATCGACATCGCCTTTCATGTTTCGTCTTCGACGCGGTTGAAGCATCGGCGGATATTTTCCTCTTTTTGCTGTCCAGCTCTTTGGGTCAGCGGCGCGTGTTGTTCTGGTTGAGGACCTCAGGGGCGGACTCCTGTAGAAGTGTTAGGTACTGGAAATAGAGTGACCTTGCCCCCGAAGCTTCGACGTGACGTATTGTGCATCACCAGTAACAGACTCATGTGCGTCCAAATAGTGATGGGCTATAACCTCAGATAAAGTTGTTTCTAAGGACCCCGATTTCTATCCTTTAGAAAGGAAACAGCTTTCCAGAGTAATTCAAAGACAGGCCCGACGTTCTACTACCATCAGGGGTTATACTTGGCCGACGCTCATCTACCTTGCCTTGACATACACTTCATACTCACGTAGTTCCATGGTAGCAAGAGCTGATGTTCACATCATAAATTGGACAAATCTACCCAAACTTGCATCAAGCAAGACACGAAATTATACAGTCAAATATATACATAAAAGTCGAACCCCCTTCTTTCATCCACTCACTCTCAATTACCACTTAAGCCTTAACACACTGGTGGTAGTAAGGGTTCATCTCAACACACTTGTAAGGCTTCTCGCACTCAGTAGGACCATTGTAGTTCTTTCCACCACACTGGTAGTACTGCTTAACGGGACCGACATTTCCAGTTCCGATAGGTCCAGCAGGGGCGGTGCCGCTGGGGACGTCATAGGAGGGCTTGGTCTGGGTGTTCCACTTGTAAGTGTAGGCGGAGCTGGTGCGGACGACGGGGGCGCGGGTAGGGGCGGCGGCGGTGGAGATGGCGACGGCTGTGGGCTCGAAGTCACCATCCTCCTCACAGTCGTCGTCTTCCTTTTCGACGGGAGCGGAGGCATCATCCTCGCAGTCCTCGTCCTCGTCGTAGATAGGAGCAGGGGCGGACTCGTCATCGCAGTCTTCATCGTCATCGTAGACGGGAGCCTTGGTGGGGAGAGTAGATGTGCCGTTGGTGGGGATAACGTAGGTAGGGAAAGGAGCAGCGGTCTCATCCTCGCAGTCATCATCGTTATCGTCAATGTTGGTGTAAACGGGGCCAAGAGCAGTGCGTGTAGCCATGGTGGTAGCAGGAGCAGAGCTGTTCTTCATGGTAGTAGGGTAAACAGGCTCCTCAGTCTCAGGAAGCTCATCACAGTCGTCGGTCTCGGTGTAGGCGGGCTTGGTCATGGTCATCATGGTAGTAGGCTTAGCAGTAGGGGCAACAGTGCTGGAGACAGGAGCGCCGGTAGCAGCGGCGGCGAGAAGGCTGGAGACACTGGTCCAGGCAGGCTTCTTCTCGTACTCGTCGGTGTAGAGAAGAGCTTCACCGGTACCCTCAAAGACATCAGGGATCCAGCTGTACTTGTCGGTGATACCCCAGACGGTAACTCCAACACAGCCCTTGACGTCGAGACAGGCGCCGACCATGTTGGCGTACTCGTCACCTTGCTTGGCCAGAGCGGCGGCGGAAGCAGGGACGGCGGAGTGGCGGATGTCGAGCTCGGTGAAAGCAACTTCGACGTCTAGAGCAGTGAAGCGCTCGAAGACGGTGGCCATCTCAGAGCGAGAAGGAGACTGGCCGACGATGAGATGACCTTGGAAACCGACACCGTCGATGGGAGCACCGGCCTTTTGGAGGATCTCGACGATCTCAACGGCGCGGTCGGTCTTCTTGCCGTTCTGCTCGAGGTTGTAGTCATTGTAGTAGCTGCAATCGTTAGAGATACATTCATGCTAGGAGGAAGGTGGACATACAGCTTGGCATCGGGATCAGCCTTCTTGGCGGCGTTGAAAGAAATGGCGAGGAAGTCGGTTCCGAGAGTCTGGTAGAAGACACTGTCGCGCCATTCACCGCTGTCGTCGATAGCCTCATTGACGACATCCCAGGCGTAACAGTCGCCCTTGTAGTGCTCAACAACGTTGGCAATGTGCGCCTCGATAATCTCGGTGAGCTCAGACTTGGAAAACTTTCCAGCAGAGACTATTTACTCGTTAGAACACCTCTTTTGAACACGCGCTCGAACAAACTCACCCCAGTTGGGCAGCTGGCTGTGCCAAGTCAAAGCATGGCATCGAAGAATCTGCTTGTTCTTCTTGGCAAGATCAGGAACAACATCGGCAGTAGTGTAGGTAAACTGATCACGAGCAGGCTCGACAGTCTCCCACTTCTGTCCATTCTCAGGGACAAGCTGACCAAACTCCTCAACATTGTTAGCGAGCTTGGCGTAGGCGGCATCGCTGAGGTAGCCGTTGTCGACGGCACTGCCGAAGTACTTGAGACCAGCGGCCTGCGCTAGGCTGTGAAGCTGGGCCGAGACTGGGCTCGAGGCCAAAAGACCGAGAAGAGCAGACTTGTGCATATTGACTGTAAAGAACGAATGGATAAAGCAAACAAAAGAGTGTATTTTGCTTTGTTCAAAGGAATGAAAATTGGGTAGAATGAAAAGAATGAATGAACAGCCACTGGCGTGTATTGCAGCTTCAACTCGACTTCCATCGTGGAGATATATAGCAGCAGATCATAAGTGTCACCCCTGCATCTTCATCGTCAAGCCTTGCACGGGGGAATATCTTCCATACAATCAAGATGCCTTGTTACATCTCCGCTTCGTCTCAGGTGTATGATCAAGGGGTTCGGGCAGCGTTGCCGTTTAGCGAATGAGCTTGTCATGAGGGGGGATTGGTGATTATCCGGTTGAAGAACTGGGATGTTCGGCAATGTCAGTTGGGGAGTGGAGTTTATGTCATTTAAACCCTTGTTCTGTCCAGGAACAGGGCACGGGTAAAGAGGTTGTTGGCGGTTAAATACGTGGTGAACATCACATCACCAACGTGTTCTGCAGGTACGTCTGTCGGTTTAGTCTCTCCTTGTTCCTGCATGAGATGAGATTAGGCTATCACTAGCAGATAAAAGAATGGCGCCAAATGAACACCATCTCTGACCGTTGGATTCGATAGTCGCGATGGTACCTGTCGATCCCACCATCTCCCCTTCATGTTTCAGATACCCGGCGCTAGTAAAGATTGGTGTGTCTTATTCCTTTGAGTGATTTTCGTCTGATGTTGTCGTTTAGCTCGTTAGAGATTGATGATTTGCTTATTGACGAATTTCGGTTAACATCCATGGCTGTCATTTTAGAGCACGGCTGGGGAGGTTCGACCATGCGACTCAAGCCAAGATTTGAAGGCTTTCCATGTTGTCAATCAAATAGGCGAATATTACTTGTCGTATTCAACGGGTCTCCATCACGGAGAATGCGGATATTTTGTACCCACTTTGAAGTACACGTACGTCCAGATGAACCGACGGTAGCAACGGAGCATCCAGGTCAGGGCCTTGGGCTTGCGATCGTATCATTTAGCATTTGAACTCACGGCATAATTACGAAAGACACGATACTCGTGTGTTTGTTTTCCCGATGGTATCGGCAGTTGAGCCAGTATTGCATTTCTCGTGGTTCGGGTTGTGGGCTAACCACAAAAAAAGTTGAACAATAATGTGTTCTATCGCCGTGAGCTACGAAAGCAAATCATCAATCAAAAACATCTGAAAGAACTTGTAACCGAACAGCATGACTAGACTTGACAGATGTCAATGATCGGCAATCGGGATGTTGGGGTGGGAAGGAACGAATTGCATTTGCCTCCGACTTACCCTATATTGGCTTGCCATTGAGCGCCATAACCACATTTTTACAATCTTGATCTTGAACCTACTATTTGTTATTGATTGACGGCCAATGGCTTCTTGACTAGCCATTCTGCTACGTAGGATCCTGTGACTCTTAGATGCCTGGAGTCTTGCTTGCGTGGATTCCGGGCTGTGGTCTAACCTTGAGCATCATTTTAACAACATTTGTCACAGCAACCAAGCCTGGGAAGTCGCAAGCCCCCCTGTCCGGCATCTACGTCTCCTGTCGCTTGAAACATCGAATAGCATTTTAGACGAATAAGAAAAATTCACGACATGGAAATTTCCAGAGCGCCAGTACGACTTTTGGCACTGTACAAATCTTTCACTGATATAAAAACAACTACTCTTGCTCGCAACCCGAGACATCAACATCCAGAGCTATAATACGCAAGACAACGATGGGGGAACTGGCCGAAGCCATTTAGAAGAACGACCGGGCGCTGAAACTCTACAATGGAACCGATGGAAATCATTCCTGCCCATTGACACTTTGTTCGACCAGAGCAACTACCGAAAACCCTGACGACCTTCGGCAGATAAACTTCACTTATACCTTCTGACGAGCAAAGACGAGAAGACTCGAACACCAATTCAACAAGTCTATCCAAGGCCCTGGTCGACCAGAAACCGCCTAGAACAGCAGTGGATGCCCGGAGCGAGATCCAAGTATCAGAAGCATCTGGGTCGCCATGGCAAACGTGAAGCAGAAGAAGAAGCACAATATCGGCATTAACAGAGGAGCACGAAACTTTGCAGAGCTGCCATCGACACCCAAGCCGATCTGTCCGTGCTGTCCCACCGCCGACGACAGGACGAGCAGGAGGACGTTATCACCGCTGCCTGCCATTCTTAAGCCGTGTCTGAATAAGGCCAACGGCTGTTTCTGCCTCGTGTAGCATCGGATTGGCCAAGGTGCTCGTGAACTGTTTGCTTAATTTCATCCCAGGCTTGGACAAGATCAAGCCCGTTGTGTACAGGGGGGATCATGCGCAACTGAAGGAAGTCCTCCTCATGGAAATCAATTTCGAAGTGAGACTCGACGTACAGGAGATTTCACGGAACCGGATTCATCGAGATTTCAACGATCCTCACGGTGTCGCGTCGCTGTTACCATCGAGCGCGCTGTCGTTGTGCGCATCCAGAGATTATCGCAAAAGTTGAACTTGCTAATGGAATACAGAGAGGACTTCAAGAGCTTAACAGTAGTCCCACAGAACGTTTGTACTAAACTTTTGCTATTGGGTAGAAGGTCTGGATTTTATGAGTAGGAATCAGAATGGAAGTCCCGTGCTTTCGACTGACCTTCCCAGTAAGCATCCTTAACCTCAGTAGGTAGCAGAAACAACAGTGGCCAAGGACCAGGGCATCATTGCCTGAGGAGCATGCAAGAATGCGAAGAATGTGAAAGTTTGCGCGATAGAGGATAGAACACACCGGCCGGAACCTTTTGGCCTTGAGGCCAGACGCTGGGGCCTCAGATGTGACCCTCCCCGGCCTCTCTGTTTGGATTCCTAAGGGGTCATATCCAGCGAGTCCTTCACGAATGATTGGGACTGCAACGGATGGGCATTCTGCGACGATGCCCGTGATATGTGATCTGCCAGTGCAGAAGGAAAGCGCACACTGAGATCCCACAAACGAGAGAGGGCTACCCAAACCAAGGTGAGGTCAATAAATGTCAGGTAAGTGATGCGAATAGATGCATCATATCAAATATCATCGACAGCGAGACAGCACCCATGTCCCTTTCTTCTGGACTTCACCCGAAACTGGGCCCTTTTGCCATAGACAGAAGGCCAAAAACGACCAAGGTAAAGAGCAAGAAGGCTATTTCTGCTATCACCAGGGCTGCTGAACTCCCGGAACCGGCTTACATGGCATGTAGAAGCTGGAGACTCTTTCATGACACACAAGACACGAACCTCAACCAAGCCCATTTGCCTGTCAGGGGCGATAAAACAGTGAATCCCATCTAATTTGAACCATAGGCCGACTACGACAACGCGCGAGCTTGCAGAGTCACGCCCGCTTACCGCTCGCTACCTCCCGCACAAGAAGACGAAGAAGATGAAGACGAAGAGCGAGAAGGAGGTGGACACCCTTATCACGGCCGCTGGGTTTATAAGAATGTGAACTACACAGGAAGTCGACATCTGCGGGCTCGTTCGTGGTGAGCAGGCTGACAAGAGTGCCGTCGCGAAAGAAGCGAAGGTATCTGTAGTAAGTTACGATATAGATTGGAGCCCCCTAGGTAGGTTGGTTCAACGAGGCTTGTCCAGCGCGGATATGATGGACCGTAGAGATATAAGGGCCATTCAAGCGAAAGTCAAGGCCTCTCCAAAACAGAGAAGTTTGACAAGCAAGCTTACCTGGAATCTCACTCCGCGACCTTTGGAGGCCATTGTCGCCGAGAAGAGGTAGCCAAGAATGTGGCGAGGACCTTCACAACAGAAGGAGCTTCGACATTTATTATGACCACTAGATCTGTGGAGGCTCAAGTATATGGCGGGTGAAAGCAAGGGGGAATCTCAGTGACAGACATAACATGACAGGCGGATAACAGCGGAAACATCCTGTAAGGCTCAGGCTACTATAACCAAGTAGACTAAGTGCTAGTCTAAGCTAACCTCAAATAACCAAATTATTTCATCTCTTATGCTTTCGAGGGCCAATTCTTCTGATGCTCCAAGACATGAGGTTGAGGTGATTGAGATTCAGCACGACCCGTATAGGACGTTAGAACAATACATGGGTCAGGCAGTCACAAACCTACCAACGCATCACGCGAGATAGGCATCATGGACCAAGCAAGAAAATGCCATAGCATAGCAGAGTATATACCCAAAACGCCACGAGTCTAATGCTCTATACAATGCGTTCCTCCACAGCTCAGCTACAAATACATTCGCTTCAACTCTTATGATTCGCGACCCAGCCGCTCCTCATCATCTTCCGTTAACTCATACGCAGGTCGGAAACTTTCCCCGTTTTGTCCCTGCTTCTTTAGGTGCGGGTTTGGGTGTGTATCCTTTTTGCCGCCTAGACTCGTGTAGCCTTGGTCGTAGAGAGGACAATATGCGATTCCCAAATGGCGAATAAACTGGAGATGTTAGCGGAGGTGTGTAGGGTTGGGAGGTGGTGCTTACAGCCCAGATTTGTACATAATGCCAATCAATAACAGGATGTATCCTCATAAACGACGGCCAACCAGCGTCCGTCGGATCAAAGAACGTCAAGTTCTCGCCATGAGGATCTGTCCGTCTAGTACCCACAAACACAGCCTTGATGCTCGGTCGCTCTTCAAGGTATATTTCGAGACCCTTCTTCATGGGTAACACGTATCGCGCAACTTCAAGACCGTACTCGGCGCTGGACGTCTCGACGAATTCGTCTACTTCGGGGAAGGGATGCGCTGCGACGATGTATACACATTGGAGCTTCTCGGGAGGTGTGATGGTGGAGGCGCCGTTGGTCTGGTCGGAATAGTAGATGCGACCCATGCGTGCGAGGATCACGATGAGGAGGACGAGACCTGGGTGTGTTAGTTAGTATCGCGCGGTCATGACTCTTGCCTGAAGCTCTGGTTGTCACTTACAATCCTTCCCTCCATTATATGATAACGATATTTGTTCCGGCCTGCGCACGTCAGCAACCGCCCATATCCGCCATACCTGCCAATCTCACAAAAACATACGTATACTTCCGCAACGCCTCATCAACAACCTCTATAGACTTGCGAACTTGGCTCTGCACATCGCGCAGTATCTGTGTCTCGGGTTCCTCCGCAATAAAAGCTTCGACCTTGTCTCTGAGCTCGAGACACTTGTCGCGCAAGGAGCGGGGTGGCGGGGTCGATATCATGATGGCTCTAAGTGAGGTATCTCTGCGCAATCGCTTTTCGTATGGGGGACAATTTTTGGAAGGATTATGAAGATGATTGGCAAGAGAATAATGAATTGGGTTTGAGAGAGTTTCCAGTTTCTGGAAGCTTCATTCGATAGCTCCGGTTTCGCCGTACGGCGGCGATATGTATGGATGGGTAGTAAATGCAGGGTACTCTCATGGGCCGAGGGCCAATGGTCATCACGTGCATTAGCACTGTCACTTCAGAGGCGTCACGTGAGTTTAATGAATCCATGTCAATCCAGCGAGCGATGAGACAAGATAATCAGACTTGTTTTCCAAGAACTATTTAATGATTTTTGTATTTTTTCTTTCCTTTTCTTGATGAGTATATATCAATAGATGACTTGAAAGAAGCTGTTTGTGCCAGCGTCCGAATTCCCTGCGTATACAACAATATCCCCTCAACCAAGTTCATTGCGTTCCTCGCGCCATGCTTTCCTCGTCACCGTGTTTAAGGTAACGCCTTGAAGAGTACCTCCCTTGAAACAATCCGCGCGGGCTTCGTCCGCCTTTGGACAAGGGAGCTGTTTGTCCTGGTTAATAGCTTATCGATTGGCGATGACACCCTGCTTCATTCACTGCTGGTTGACAACTTCGTTCTCTCAACCAGTCGCCGATCCAGGGCACTTCTCGGAAACATTACTTGAAAGAGAATCTCCAATTTCAATGGATATCGTCTCTTGTTGCCGTCGATCCGGCTATGGCCAAGTGTAGCTGAAGAATTGAATTAAGGAAATATAATTCTTTCGGGAGCAGTAAATTCGACCGGTGGACGATGGAGAACGGATTGCCATCCCGAGGTACAATGACAACCAGTTGGCGACAGGTCCAAATGTTGGTCACGGTCTTGAAGGCCTCTACAATGGCCTCTTCGACAGCTTTCTCGTGGCGTGAGTTTTGCGATGTTGCTCAAAAGGCCATCCATCCATATTGAGCTATTCGTGGTTTTTGACTTTCAACAGGTTCAGCTGGTACCTCATGTTACTCGTTTAGCGTTTGCACCGTGGCCGTGGATAGCTTGACCTGGGACAGGGCCGGGAGTATAGGCCGGACGATAGGGTGGAATAAGGACAGCACTGAGTTCCGCGCAACACGTTGAGACATGCCAAAGCCGTCTCGCACATCAGAAGAGGGCTATGATCTCCATGAAGCAGAGCTGGTATCGCCTCTACGAGTCGAAGGGGTAGAGGATGCGCAAAGCCATTTGATGCGCAAGTTGTTCGTTCTCTGCATTGAGGGTTTTGATTCGGGCGAGAAGATCGTTTCCTTGACCGGAACGGGGTGGCCGTTGCTGGTAAGCTCGAAAAGGAAGAGGTTGCAGAGAACGCGAGATACATGTCAGTGTTTGAGGGTACTCGGCCGAATTCATCCTTGTTACGAAGTTGCGGAATGGGCTTCCTGGGATGCAGGGTGATTTCGTTATATTGGAAATCTTCTCTTCTCCCTGGCCAGCTATAATTGCGATGAGAAATCCAAGCTGCGCCTGGACCCCAGGTGATAGGGAAGTCATAACACCTGCTGTTTGTGATTTCGCGTTTCCAGCGTGTCTCTTTCGCAAGAGTTCATTGACACCTTGCAAACAGTCTAGTGTAGTTTGATGATAGTATCTCATTGGTGAGCCAGTTCTTGTTGCCAGTTTTGTACCGCAACGGCCCATTTCCCCAGACCCTCTGGAAGTCGTCGTAGGAAAGTGACGTTATGTCACTCTAGGCGTTCGAGGGAGGGAGCGAACCTCTCGGCAACGGCGATTAAATGTTGCAGTCCCACGTTCATGATCCCAAAATTAAGCTCTTCAATGTAAGACTATTCATATTGGCATTCCTTTGTTGTGGAGAGGGCTCGTCGAGTTGTCAGGTTTAAGCCGACGGGTTGACTGTAAGCATGCGCATTATCCCACTCGACTACATGGTCTTGGGCGCCACGGTTGGAGTCTGTAGACGGGAGGAAAGTGTAGCGAACATGTCAACGGGTCTTAAGTCTGGGCGTGACAGGCGTGTAACTCAAGCTTCCGCTGCGGCAGTAAGATTCTTTGTTAATACGATAACCTTGACGCATTGTTGACAGCCGCGGGAGAATGTAGAATTCGTCTTGCACACTGGAAGGAAGTGTAACTTCAACGTAGTGTTCCCACGCCCACCACCAGGCTCCATGTCGAAGAGTTCGGGCCATTACTTGCACAAGCTCAGGCCAGTGAGTGGGGAGGAAGAATAAGACATCCCGTGTGGCAAGATTATTCTGTGCCACAAGAGACTGTCCATTACGATTGACATTTTGCTTGCACAGAAACACGCGTTTCGGTAAGGCTAGGAACATCCTATGAATGTTAGATGAGCTCGCTTGAGTAAGAGTCAGTAGGTCACTTACCCCATCAGCTGTCCCTGAGTCACCGGTTCCAGTGAGTCCAGGGTGCGCTGACTTGATGTGTTTATCAACTTGATGTTGTTTCTTGAAGACCTGACCACATTCGTCGTAGAGACACATGGTGTAGACTCCTTGCTGCATCTGTTTGAATTGTTGGGCTGTCAAGCCCTTTCGCGACAAAGCCGATACTTATCGAGGAACGATGGTGGGGATGGCGCATCAGGAAGAACTGTTTTGTCATCGGTTCATTTGTGACTTTCCATACGCCCAAGTTGTCGTAGCTTCTGCAATCTGCAGTTCTTCTGCGCTCCCGATGTTAATGACGATTTCCTCTTTCATTCGACTGCGGATATTTCTGTACCTCCTCGCTAAGAAATTCAGTAATGGCTTCATGGTAGCGATCTACCCCGAAGGTCGGTGGCTGCACGTTCGCACAGGTCCTTGATGTCGCTCAAGATTGTTTTCTGCCGTTCGAATTAGCCTGTGTTTCTCATGTGCGTACCATTGCAATACCCCTTACCATTCCTATCGCTGTCTCTAGGTTGGTTCTGGTCCTGGCATGTTCCTGTTCCCCCAGTAGCTGACTCGCCGTCACAGATCAGTCGTTTTGGTGTGCGTCTTTTCCGGGACGTGTCTTGTCGCCCGTCATGCGAGGTGATGAACAGGTGACCGCTGCGCAGCGACTCTCCGTTCTGTCAAAGCTTGGGGCGATTCAGCCTTGTATGTGTGATCGACAAAGCCGCGGTGGAGATCGCGGCGGAGAGGTTGAAGATGGAGTGTGAAGCGTTTTGACGACGTCCAAGATGTTTTCGTAGGCTCCGATCACCAGTTCATCCGGTCCAATAGAAATTGGTGACCTTACTGTGAGGAGGGTATCAATCACATCCCTGTAGTGGCTCATCTCCCTTTTCTGGTCGTCAGTAGCCCTATCATCAAGCGGCAGAACGTCCAAACTGGCAGTTAGGGCAGTTAGGGCATTTGTGCTGCTTGTGGTGATTTTCATTGTACTTTGGAAGAGCAGCCCCATATGTCGAAAAGTTTCCGCAAGGGAGAACACACGCGTCATAAGGGATCTTCTCAACCTTTCGAAGATCTGGTATAAGATTGATGTTTGGCACATCTTCGTTGAGGGTGACTGGTTCCATGTGTATTGCGCTGTTCCTTGGGAGCAGGACCATGGCGCGGGAGAATCGCGCATTTGAGTTGCCTTGGCCTGTAGGCAATGATATTGCCGGATTGGAAGTTGGTTGAGTAGCATTGGTTGTTTGGAGTGGAACGCTTGGCTGAGCTGATAGTTGGGCCTGCGAGGATGCAGTGGTGAGTTCATGAAAAGTGGCGGAGACATAGTTTGCTCGACTACACGATGTCGACTTGGAGCCCTTCTCCGTGCAACCGACTCCCCTTCCGGTCTCGCGTCTGCCTCAGGAGGTTGGTAGATGATATGGTGATTTAAGAGGTAGCTTACCTGCGGTCGTCAGCAGCTTCAGTGGAATAAAGCTTGAAGGTTTCCTGAGACCGTTGATCGGTAATGACACTGCCTTGATAGGCTTCATGGAGATGTCCGTTCTCAATCGAATAGACTGAGTGCTCTCGAGTGTTCTCGAGAGTGTTCTCTGGTTCAAGAAGACGACCAAAATTCGCCTCGGTAGCTCCCCGTGAACGTCAGATTGGCTTGATCGAATTCAATATTCTTACCGTGATAGATAGACGGGCTGCTCGGTCGATCTTGCGAAACTTGGATGCCATGCGGGATCCCAACGACAAGTAATCCGGAAAATATGACCGCTGTTGAAACGAAGCGGATTTGTTTGACTTCGGGTGGTAAACATCTTCGTATACGCGGTGTATTGGTGGCTTAAAACGGGGCTCTTTGGAGGTTAGTGTTCCGAATGGGAAGTAGTTCGGGAGAAGAACATACAGATTGAACTTCCGAGCGTCAATGTCCCGTTCAGTGTCGTATGTATGGGCCATTTCCACCGTATCGTCTCTTATGATTTCGGCAGCCAATCCTTCTGATACCCCAATGGTCGTTGTTGACACCCACTCGTTCGATGAGTTTATATCGAAGGGGGGCAAGTGTTCAACCTCAAAGCTTTTTCCCGCAAAGCGGCAAATGTTGGCATCTTGTTAGTCTGCCAGGTTTAACCGTATTTCCATTCAACGAAGCCGGTGTCTTTCAACAGTCAGTGTCAATTTCATCAAAGAACATCAACGACTTACTCTACCCTCACGAACTGGTTGAGCCAACGACCGCCCCGGGGCAGACACACTTCACTCCCAAACGCTGATCGTTAAGGGAGACACAGACACGGGCCAACAGCACACCGTGACTTTCCTTGCTTCGCCTTCGTGAGACTGTTGATCTGGCAAAGAACGAGAAAAGAAAGGCCAGGGGCTGAGGGTGAGGCACCGACCAAGTCCTCGGCTACGTGTCAGAGATTATGTTAGAGTCTGAGCTAGTGGTGTCCGCCTGTCACTGTTCACTAACCTGGGTAAGAATGGTGCCAAAGGATTGAAAGTTTAAGGCGGCTGTTTGGGACGCCTGGTGTCTCGTAATGGAAAAGACGTTGGGCAAAACGCTCATCGATCTCGCGGTCTTTTCCATCTGCTCCTTCAGGTCATCTAGGACTTTAGCCCCGGAGCGCAGGCTCGTGAGGCACTGCTTCATAACTGAGTAGTAAGCCATGATAGAGACACTATGCCGACGCTGAAGATCCAGTGAATGTTATCAGCGTGAACAGAATGATTTGCTGAAGTTCGAAGAGTGATAGGAGAGTAGGGATATTTGGAACCGATCCGTGAGATTCGTCCTTCTTCAAGGGAAGTATTTTCGGCGTAGCAAGCTTGAACGAAACCAAGAGAACCCGCTGTCACGAGGCGGAAAACTGCTCACTCTGCTCAGATAGACGTCATTCATCTCTGCTCTTTTCATCCAGCAGTGGTATGTAACTTACCAGTATCAAAGAGCTGGGGATCCGGGCTGGCGATATATATATGATGAGGTGAACGACCTTTCAGGAGCTTGTCGTTGCAAATTCTGCGATGCTCTCCCGGAGAAACGTGCTGGCAGTAAGCAAGTTTCCTCTGGACTGAAGCATTCCGCGCAGACAACAAAAAGCCACAGCCTTAACCGGTTGGACAGGTCTTGCTGAGTTTCTGACAGAAACCCCAAGTACAGTTTAATTGTACCAAGACATAACCAACAGGCTGATACAACCTAAGGGAGGCGGGGACCCAAAGGAGGAGAACTCCAAAGAGAAAAGAGAAGAAGTGAACAAGGGGGTGATGGGGGGGACGGTATATATGGCATGGTTAGAACAGACAGGGTGAGTCAGCGTTGTTCATAGAGCATGAGCAGAACATTACCAGGACCTCTGCCGCAGAGTATCACAAGAATTACCAGATGGAAGCATAAGAGACGAAATAATTCGGTCACCTTATGCCGCCTTAGGCTAGCATGTAGGCCACTTTATTTCTGTACCCTAAGTCTTAAGGGACTTTCCTTCTGTTACCCACCCGCTTTGTCGTCGCAATGGGGTAACAGGAACTGGGAATCGCTTCCCAGACGGAGGCAGTTCAAACGACGTGAGTGAGTTTCCAAATTGCCTGGCCACTTATTTCCTGATGCGTCCAGGATGATGCGTCAAAGTGGTCTAAGAGTCGGGACTCTGCATGTTCACTCCCGCCTCATCCAGCCCCTCAACTCAATAACTTACAAATGATTACTCACTTTTGTTGGCTAGGTAGGAGGATCGACAGTTTGGAGCTCTTCTTTTCTCTTTTTCCCCGATGTTGTATCGTCTGTGTGGCGGGTTGCGGCTCGGCCAACGCCATGTTTGCATGCATGCAGCCATATATCCGCCTCTATTCCCGTCTTACACGTCAATTACTCTGTCAACAATGGCAAACCTGATCAATTCTCCCATCACGTATTCATGTTTCGGACATCCCCACGAAATAGGGCTGGTCTCAACATCAGTACTGGGCAATTACATTGCTTCTTAATGACACTCTTTTGTCACCATGCCATATCTGACACCTCCGGTGCATTCTCAGCTGCATTTGACTTCCTTCATCTCACTTACGGCTCACGCAAGTGATGTATCACAAGAGTAGGCGGAGGAAGTTGACAGACCACACCGCCCTCAGCCATGAGGGCGGCTGGGCGGCTACTGGGTAACACAACATATGCGCCTTCATTTATCCATCACCAAATCTTCATTATTCTCACGTCAGGTCACCTCGCAAAAGGGAATGTATCATGTAGGCCTTGGGGCACTGAACAGAAATAGCCTGACTCGCTGCTCAAATTGACATAAAGTGATATCTTGGGACCAATTCTTCCGATACTCTGGCCAATGGACGGGAAGCAGCATACCGCTATCTCATCTGGAATCATCAGATGCAGCGACGTATGACTCTTCTGCCTGTTGTTTGCCGATACTGAGTTGCCATCTATCTTTCTCCGGGAATCCAAGCTTGAGTAAAGGGTTTCTTCACGGCTGGGAGTGAAGATTTAGGGGTCTTTTGGACCGCCCAGCTTGACAAGATGAGAGTCTTTCCCAGGCTTTTTGTTCTTTCTGTCAATATTTAGTTTTGTTCGTGGTCTCATATGATTGTGTCTTGGTCGTTGCTGTGAGTAAGGTGAGCATCCTCGCTGAGTGTACCTTCAATTTGACAGACCCTCCATGGAAATCGTAGATAGGATCATGTTTATAACTCAGTAGTCTCTGGTACTTAGACAAGTTAACCCTTAATTATTGAAGAGATTCTAGTAGTACATCTAACACTCATCGCTCATCCGCCCTCATCCTTCTGTTCCTCTCCATCAACTTCTCCAATTCCCTCCACTTCTCAATAACATCACGCTCATCAAGCTCCAAATCTCCATCCACAGCATGTCCCTCAACAGGTTCAAAGTGTCCGCAAGTATCATTCGCTTGTCCAACCACAAACTTCCTCATCTTCTCACCCTTGACTTCCCCTACCATGCCATGCCCACAAATTTCCCCTTTGTAGAAATAATCTCCTTGCCCATGTCGCAGACGTACTGGATACGCCACGATGTCAAACTGTACTAGCTGTGTAGGTTTCTTATCAAGGAAGACTTGGATCAAGTTCATCCAATCCTGCTTTCTTGTTCCAAAGCAATTCTTCAGACGTATCCTCTCCAGGGTATGCGCATGGTTCGCAAAGAAACCACAGAGTCCATCCATGATATGAGAATACTCAATCTCGATGAATCTCAAGTTCGATAACTGGAAAGATGTCCAATCGATAGGCTCCAGGTTATCCGAACTCCCGATAATAGCATCCTCTGTTCCCCCAATCCTCAAATCCCGTACACTCGTAAGATGTTGAAAGAAGGCATAAGGGAAATAATACAAAAACCCATTGTGCGCATTTGTCATGGTTCCAAACCGCCCATTGACTTCTGCAAGTGAAATCTCAAACTTCTTCAGTGACCCAAGCAAAGTCTTCCAATTCTCCGAAGCACAAGCATAGTAATACTCCGACCCTGTAGGTGGTAACCCATTGATCTCAAGCTGTTCAAATGTCCCAACCTCATTCTTCGCAACAGCCTGCAGACTATTCTCAACAACAATCCTCCACGGCTCCTCATGATAAGAATCATTATTCCTAATGAACCCAAACAGCGTAAAACAACAAGGTGCATCCCTCCACTCATTCAAATTCCATCCGCCCAGATCAAACTGGAACTTCTTCAAGCACGGAAACAAGTTCAAAGACTGTAGTGCTTGACGAGTCTCGCTGCTAAGTTGAACGTAGGGGTTGAGAAGAGGATATCGGATTGCTTCGCCTTCCTTCAGGCGGATGTTGTCCCTTGCTGATCTTCGCCAAGGATCGCGGGGACTGTATGTGATTTTACGAACGAACTTTCCTCGAGGTCCTGATGCGAGTGCGAAGAACCGGTTTGCGGAGGAGATGGCGTCGTCTAGACTTGTAGAGTGATACGCTTTTTCTTGGAAGATGGTCATGAGGTGACGGGATGAGAGGCAGAGATGGCGAAGACTGTCGGGGGAGACATGATCGCCGATTTCGAGGAGAATTTCAGTAGGGACTTGATTGAAGGACATGTTCATCAATTTTCATGAGCATAGAACAAAGATATAAAGATCAAAACAAGAAAGGGCAAAAAGTTGAATGAGTCCATGGAGGGAGGACATAAAGGTCATGATGAAGTGGAGACTACGGCTAATACCATGATGGAAGCTCATACCTTGATGGCCAACCTCAATAACCAGCCTCGGAACTTCGAAATACTCGGCTAATCTTGACTCAACTTCGGTTCCAGTTGCTCAGCGTATTTTCAAAGTGTCATGGCAAGGAAGGTTACAGTACCTACGAAGATATTGCACCGCGATTACACGATCTTGACGCAACCCTCGTTGTCAATCAGCCCGGGCATGATTTGCTGGCTATGATCTAAGAAGCTTGTAATTAAGCTTATACTGTACGTCTCATAGCTTAGGATACCAAAATAAAGTAGCCTAAACTCTGATCTAAATTGGATAAGGTCATCTAAACTATTGCGTCGTATATGCTTATGACGGCTAATTCTTCCGACACCCTGCGGCCAACTTACTCTAGCTTGGACTAGCACTTGGATTATTTTATCTTAGTAGCATAACCTCTTAAGAAGGATTCTTCTGTTATTTTACTAAACAAACATTATCGCAATCAATAACAGTGTCATGTCTCCCATCTAGGCGCATTGATAATCAACGCCATCAAACACCCCGACATGACAGCCGTAACAGGCAACGTAACAATCCAACCCAAATAAATCCACGCCACAAGCTTCGGATTAATACATCTCCAATCCCCATTAGCCAACCCAACACCTACCGTCGCGCCCGTGATACACTGTGTCGTAGACACAGGTAACGACAATCTTGTCGCCATAAGCACGGTTATAGCACTAGCAAGTTCCATGCAGAATCCGCGACTGGGCGATATGAGCGTGAGACGATTACCCAGCGTGCGCATGACGTGGTAACCGTACGTTAACAGTCCAACAACGATGCAAGCACCGCCGACTGCGAGGATCCAGAATGGGATCTCGACAAAACCGGGGATCGTGCCAGTGGACCAGACTTGGTAGGCTGTTGTAAAAGGTGCGACTGCGTTGCTGACGTCGTTTGCTCCGTGCACGAAAGATGCTGTTGCGGCAGTGAGGATCTGGAGGGAGGAATACATGTATTCTGCGCGGTTGTCGTAATGTGCTGATCGGGCATGCATATCTTCCAAGTCCCAGTTGAGAATGTTGTTGCGTTTCTGCATTGCTACAACATCCTTTTCTAGACCGCGGAGTAGCACACGGTTGACTCTCCATGCTAGTACTTTTGGACTGTTCCAGTGTCCATCTGGACGTGGAGGTACGAATTCGGAAGAGGGACGTCGTTCGAATTTATTGGGTGGCGTTCTTGGAGGTGTTTGAGCTGGCGGTGGAAGAATCCAGTCGTCGTCTTGGTCGAGATCAGGTAACTCTCCATTTCGTGTCTGAATCGACTGAAGAAGTGTTTCGGAAGTCCGTATGTAATCTAGTTCCTCCCGCGTGAGATGTCCTTGGTAGTAGTCCCTGATTCGAGGTTTCGTGAAGCCAATTGGTGTCGGCGGGGGAGGTGATCTCCAAAGAAGCATCGGTCCCTGGAAGACATGATACCACTTGAGAGTCCAATCTTCGTGCATAATCCTCGTCCATAGAAACGGAAGTATGAACAAAATCTGGAGAAACGTCATTCCTGTAGCGGTAGCGAAGATCGCAATGACTGTATCCCTCGCAGACAGGTTAATTGCATGAATACCCTTCCAGACCAAAAGCATCGTGAGCGCTCCAACAGTAAGATAGGTGTAGAACGGGATTGAGTAGAAGGCCCTCTTCACAGCACTCCGTTTCATCAGAATAAACTTCTTCGTAAAAAGAAACAAGCAGTATCCCATACACCCCGCAATAAGAGGCGCAATGATCCACGCCGCAAAGATCTGGGAAACACCATGCCATCCCCAACTAACCTTCTGAATCCCAATGCTCGCCGTCGCGGCACCGACCAAGCCACCAATAAGAGAATGCGTCGTTGATACAGGAAGACCTTGCCGTGTCGCAAAAGTAAGGAAAACCGAGGACGACATGATAGTGCACATCATAACGAGTAACAAAACACCAGGCGAACTGTCGTAGTGGTGAGGGTCGACAATCTTGGTGCGGATGGTATCTGCGACTCGGGATCCTACTGATGCGCTGCCGCTGAATTCGCATACTGCTGCTATAAGCATGGCTTGTTTCATGGTCAGGGAGCGGGAGGAGACGGATGTTCCGAAGGAGTTGGCCACATCGTTGGCACCTAAAATGTCAGCATGGTGCATGTGAAGGGTGTACTCAAGAACATACCGATATTCCAGGCATCGAGACAAGCGAATATGACGGTTAGAGCAAAGATGTAATCATACTGATGAAGTGTCGCCATTGCCTAGGATATAGGTGAAGATAATAGGAAGATATAGGGCGCCGCGTCTCCACGACGACAGCATGTCACTCCATATCGAAGCAATGAAGATCTCAAGGGTGAATGAGATAAAGCTGAGTTGCAGAGCAGGGTATTAGGTATAAGACAAAGACAGGCGGGGCAACCGGGCTTCTTTTAAGCTCCTTCTCCCGAGGGAGCGGTTAGACTAGTCAACGGCGTTGCGAGTGTGCGTCTTTGCGAAGACGTGATTCGATAGGCGAGGCTTGACACAGGGGCGATTCTTATTTAGTCGGTTGTTGCTACAATTGAAGACCGAGAGATTGTTTGAGCCAAGATTTAGGTGAGTGTGGTGATGATTTGGGGCTGTGGTGTAAGGAGCCAATGATACTGTGAGGATGGACCACGAGGTTGTGAGCCGCGTGTAAAACAACGATAACGCAGGAATAGAGAGTTTCTAGACTATTCAATCGGGCGATGGTAAGCGGTAATCGACATCTAGAATTAACCTCAATGCTAATTCCCATGCGATAGCCATCTTGACTGTCCTAGGTTTTTGAGATACAGATTCTCGAAGGCGCACTTACTCTTGATCCTGGACGCATTTCTCAACTTCTCTCAGCCATCTGCGCACAAACAACGCCTTTCCCGAGACACTTCCCGAAGCTACACATCATCTCAAAATCTTTCCTTGGCCGTCACACTAATAAACGCCACAACTACGACGATTCTAATGTTGAAGTCTCCAGGAACTCACTTACATCCCACGTGTATTTTAAGCCGCCCGATCGGGCGACCGAAGTAGCTGCTGTGCCGCTGATATGACACGATGCGGCGTGGTTTACATTGAACCTGGGGTATCTGATGTAACCCACGACATTCTCGATTGTAGCATCGTGAGGATATCAGAAATATTGGACGCGCGGAGAACCTAAGAGACGAAATGGCTTAAGCACTTTATGGTCGCTTAGGTTAGCACTTAGACTATCCTATTTTTAACGTCCTAGATCTTAGACGATAACCTCTCTGCTGCTTGGTACTGAGCATTTGTTGAGATTCAAGAATCACTTCTTCATGCACCATCTTCTCTTCACCTCCAATCATCTACCGACTACTTCGCCTGCCTTATCCCTAACCCAAGCATTATAACAGAGACACAACAATATTTGCCTTTGCGGAGATCATCACGCCTATGCTGGCGACATCACACCGGGCCCTCATATTGTCCTCAGGTCGGACGACACGGTCCTGGTTAGGGATCTCAGAATCGTCGCACTGCAGACTTCTCGTTGGCAGGACCAAAGTTGAGATACTTCCACTCGTTGCCACAGGTGCCACCAAGAAGGTATAAGGATAGAGCGGGAAACCGCTCACAAAGTTTAAACATCGGCTCCTAGAGCCTACCAAGTTCAGTTCACTCCTCGTCGATCTCGTAGGGACCAAGGTAGGGGCTTATGAAGAGGTGAGCAGTAGGGTATCGTATCCTCACTTTCGGTTGATACAGGTGCATGTCTATCCCAATCCTCTCCTCTAAACTTTGGGGCGATATAAATAAATGGTCTAAGATTATGTTTAAATGATCATGACCTTATCTAAGTTACTCCACCTCTTATGCTTTTTGGTGATATAAAACACCAAATGGGACCTTAATGCATCCAGTATCACAGGATACACACTGCCTCTCTAACCAAGGAACACCAACGAAGACGCCCATTCAGCGAAGCGAATGGATGTCAAGATTACATGATCTCTTGGATGCAATGACCTCCTCCATTTCTAAGGACCCTTAAGAAGGCTCCACCTTTCAATCCCGCATCCCCCACTATTCCCGCCGATAAACGTAACCTCGGCCCGTCTCACTCCGATCTACATCATCAACTTTCCATTTGCCTCCATCCCAATCACCATTACAATTTATTGCGCCAACTTCAACACCGCACTCACCCCCAAACCACCAACCTCACAACCAAACAATCAGACCAAAACCTTCAACTACAAACCGACACAATGTCTCGTCTCCTAACCCGTCGTCTAACGCCCCTCATCCGCCCCTCAACCCGTCTGTCATCAACATTCCAATCCCGCCCCTCACCACCAAAACTGCCCGCCGACCAACAAGCCGAATTCGAGCGTCTTCAGCGCGCTGCGAGTGTATCTTCTGCTTTTCAACCAACTGAGGAACCCAACGTCACTGTCACCTCTACCACAAACCCTACAAACGCTGGCGCTGCTACACCGGCTACATCGCAAATCAGACATACAACAACCCCCGAAAAGAAAGATGAAGATATGAACATCGGTTACTTCCGCGGTGCACCACCTGAGTTTGAGGGCGACGTTAATCCCAAGACTGGAGAAGTTGGAGGGCCCAAGAATGAGCCTTTGAGATGGGGTGGGGATAGCGATTGGTCTTATAACGGACGAGCGACAGATTTCTAAACGGCATACAATACCGAATGGCAAACTCAAGTCAAATGGGCTTACAATAAAGTCATGGAGGGACGGTGGCAAATGTACAAAACTGTATCAATACTTATAGACAAAGGCTTACGCCTTGATTAAAATTTGTTATTATCATAACCAGAAAGGGGTATTTCTAATGCTACAAGACCTTTGGCTCCGGCTCTTTGCCCTGCTATGCAATGACACCAACGCCTTTTATGGTATGGTGACAAAATCGTGACTGTCGTCAAGAATCCGTCTTCGCCTCTGTGGTCGGCGCCTCGACGGCATCGCTCATTTCCACGTCCTTTGGCTGTTCCTTATTTTCTTCGTTCGCTTCCGCCTCGTGAGTAGTCGGTTCACTGTTCTCCTTGTCGCCCTCGACGGTATCCTTCTCCTTCGTCTTTGACTCGGTTTGCTCGGGCTCCTTTTTCCTCCATGTAGCTGATATGCCACCTGCCAACTTTCCATTCGTTTCCTTCTCCCTAGTTGCCTCGACACCGTTATCGAGACTCATCTTGACCTCACGCATGGCCTTGCGAATGCGATCACGTCGAGCTTGGCCTCGGAGTCGTGCTTGTGGTTGCGCTCCATTTTCTACCCATCGTACACTCTTGATCATGTAGCTGATACCGTCGTGAACTGCACGACGATGTCCATAATCTCCACCAAACTCCCGACTCGTAATGCCATGTCGGGTTGAAGAATAGTATTTGACCAAACGGGGAAGAATGAGAATATTGACATGTAGGTCTCGTCGTGGAGGTATCGGCATCGGTCCGCTCGTGGGAGGTGCAGTGATCAGACCTTCCGAGTCCAGGTCGACAGTCAAGGTCGCAGGCTTCTTACGTCGCTTATCGGTGGCGCCCTGTTCGATATCCAATGTCGCACTGTCGACGTCTTCTGACCACTCTCCCTTGATCCAGCCACTATGAATGCATGCAGCAACGACATCGGAATCGTCTGTGTAAATATCAGTGCCCCAAAGATAACCTCGCGAGGTAATCTCTTCTCTAGAGGCAGATGCCAAGTGGACTCGCGATACCTTGACTGTCAATATGCAGTTTTCATTGTCTTTGATCATCTCCCAAGGTAGCGGCTTAGGGTTTGAGGCGAAGGGTCGATGCGTAGGATAGGTTGGCACCAATCTGCCAGCTCTCAATCCCGGTTCGTAGATAAAATCTCCAAGATGGTGTCGAGGTCGGCTCGATACAGAGTCAAAAACTGCTTTCGACGAAACAATAGTCTTGGTTTTCGGAGGTATTATCGGCGCGGCGTTTTGTACCGGCTGTTTCACCGGCTGGTGCTGGTGTGGATGCATTGGTCGTGGAGGATGGTGATGATGAGGGACGGGAAGACCTTTGTCGTTGGGTGCGCCAGCCTTGAAGTTCTTGAAAGGTACAGCACCGCTCAATGGGGCAGCGTCAGGTGGATGATGATGGTGGTGATGCGCGTGACTATGATAATCAGCAAAGTCCCGAGGAAACGGAAGGCCAACATACTGATGGTGGTGGTGATGTTGATGTTGGTGAGTTTTGGGACGCTTGTTTCTGTTTGCGGGAGTGACTCGTCCGGAACTTTCATCATCGCCCTTTCCTTCATCATCTTTGAGTTTTCTTCTCCTGCCCTTGGTGCCCTTTCCTCCTGCCTCGGGACCAGAATCGGGTGTTACATTTTCCGGGTCCTCGCGTTTGGCTAAGCTTGCATTTGTGAATGGCATTGCGGCAGATGTCATGGGGCTTGTAACTCCCATGACTCCGTTTCCAATACCAGCAAACATGCGACCAAACTCGCTCTTGATTCCTGGCTCGCCAGTTGGACCAGGCTGTTGCAATTGCGCGCCCTGTACGGCTTGGGGTAGTGGTGAAATTCTTCCTTTGCGGTTCATCTCCTGGATTGCCAACAAATTACGCTGACCATTCGGGGCTGACGCATCATCGCTATTACGGTGTCGTGGAGACTCAAGTTGTCCCGGACCAGGAGCTCCGTTATAGGCTATGGTCGGTGGTGGAGGGCCGCCTTCTTCTTGTCTTCGGTGCGGAGGTTGCTGTTGTGCATGCATCAAATTCATTCGGGCTCGGTCGGGGGAGTCATAAGGTGCGGGTCCATGGGGCATATTTTGGCCTGGCGGGCCGGGCATCGGATGCGAGGCTGGAGGGTATCGCTCAGGTGGTGGGCCTGGGTAAACACCATGAGGAGGATAAGGCTGCGCAGAAGGAGGATAATCGGGATGCGGTCGCTGGTGATCCATGGGGGCTCGGTAGCTGGGATCAGAGCCCATGCGACCCCATTGCCCGTCTCGCGGATCTCGTTCTCGGATATCTCTAGGATCCCTACCCTGAGATTCACGAGGGTCTCGTTCTCTAGGATCGCGATCTGGCGGTCGGCCGTACGGTAAAGGATTTCGAGGTGGTTCGCGGTGGCCATATTCAGGATGTATCGAGTGTCTTCCCGAGTCACTGCCAGAATATGCGCGCTCTCTTCTTTCGCGCTCGCGCTGCTCTTCGCCTAATCGTTCGCGTTCTGCTCTATAGCGGTCGTCGTAGGGGTTAGGTCGAAGGCCTACTCTTTCGGGGTTGTATTCCATGCCAGGTGGAGGTCGACCCATCTCGTCGCGTCGCCCATAGGCCTCCTCTGGGTTTGGTGGTCGCCCCATCTCCATCGGTCGAGGCATACCTTGATATGCCTTGGGTTGACTGCTTGGTCTTGGAGGTGGCCCAGGAGGTAGTCTTCCAGGTTCTCTTGCATGATCTGCAGAACCTGAAGGATGTCTTGAGTACGTGGAAGGCGTGCTATAACGCGGGACTTCGGGAGTATAGTGTCCAGGTGGTGAGTTTCTGGGTTCATAGGGTCGCTGATGATCGGGAGTATGTGGTCGGCGGAAAGGCGGGTAGTCAGAAGCTGCGGAGTGCATTCTTGGTGAGGCGTGAACTGCGGTCGCGAAGCCAGGACCTGATCCAGGCGCGGCAGAATGAGGAGGATAATGTGAAGGCGGAGGTTGCGATTCGCGTAAAGCCGGAGGTGGTCCACCCAGCATTGACGATATCGACATTGAGCTGTTGCTGCTGCCAGTTCTCGCGATAGAGCTGAGGGCTGGAAGGTCACGACCCGACGGAAATGACATGGGCGGACCAACAGCTACAGGAGGTGCACGCGGTGGAGGCGGTCCATACATCATGTGCGGCTGTTGATTTTGTTGCGGCGGTTTCGCCCCCGGCTGGGGAGGCGATGTCGGCGGCGGCATTTCACGATTGAGAGATCGAAGAGAGTGAACGGCTGGTGAGTTTGAACGCGCAAGGTTTGAATCGTGGCTTATTTGGCGTGACGGTTGAGAATAAAAAGTCGTGTCGGAGGATCGTCGCTGGTCAAAAGTATGAGCGGCATATGCAGGGTTTTGATCCGAGGTCAAATTCTGAGCATAAAGATGCGGATGCGACTCGGCGCGCGCGATGTCATAAGACGGTGTGCGAGAGTGGGTAATGATGTGCGTGTGCTCATGCGGATGAGTATGCGGATATGTACGGTTCGGATGCGTAACAAATACAGGAGTAGCGCTGGGTTGAGTAGCTACTATCGTGATGAGACGGTTGTCGGAGGTTGATGGTGTTGGAGAAACTGAAGGAGGGAAAGGAGTAGCGTAAGGCGACGGCGAAAAGGGAACCCGAACTGGTGTTGGAACTGGAACTGGAACTGGAACTGGAACTGGAACTGAAAGTGGAAGCTTGGACGGATGCCGTGGATCCATGGCGCCAATTTTTTAGCTCCAGAATTCCCTTTCGGCTTCAGGTTCCAGCGACTTGAGCTAAACCCAAAAGATGCAAGATGGCATCCACCCAAGCCTTTTTCCACCCCAGGAAATCTCCAAAGAAAAAAAAAAATGCCAGTCAAAGAAGTGGAGTCTAAAGAACTGGGCTGAAGTTGAGTGAAGTCAAGTTCGAGTCAAGTCAAGTCGGTCTGGCGATAACGCGTTTGGTGATAGTTTCTTGGCGAAGTAACAACTTATCTTTCGCGGGATATTTCTCAACGATGCATTAAATCAGAGTGCGACGCGAGAAAGACTCAGAAATGTACAGATACAGCGGAATAAAATCTGATCTGTTCGTGATTAACGCGGTGGTAGGCAAGCCAGATTCAATAGGTCAAAGCAAGGGACAAGACACACACACACATCAGATACGACACGTGCCAAAAGGACAAGACAAGGCAACAAACAGAAAGTAATACAAGAGGATAGATAGATAGATACTACATTTCGGCATTCACAATATCACAGTACTTGTTGTGCGTTGTTCATCCATGCAAGAAGCGTGATCAAAAAAGAAACAATCCAATAGATCGGTCCTGTTACACTGCTGTGCCCCTGGAGTTTAGTTTTGGATGTCATACTGTGCGGTCTGGTCTGTAATGCATCGCATCATGAGAATGAAAGAGAAAAAAAAACACAGATTGGACAGGGGCATGGCATGGGGCGGGGAGAGGGGGATGGGAGGGGGGATGCAGCACTGTAGGTAGCGGTGGGCGCTAAGTGGGCAGTGAGACATGGATGAGCGAGTGACACACTCTGCACACACACGATGAGCAAGAGACCCTGTTTTCGATGAGGCCAGGACGATCCCATAGGACAGGGAAAGGCGATTGCCTATGGTTATGTTTGACTTGTCCATATTGGATGAGTGGCAGAAGGGTAACGCCGTCAAGAAGTGACGGGTAGAAGGGAAAGCTTTATCCTAGGTAGCGGTTGGGGATGATGAAACCAACACCAGCTGACTCGGAAGCTAGGCAAGCTTGAGCTGGGAGCTTTCAAGATGCGACAGATCATCTCCATTAATGTTTCTCTTGCTAAATATGCATCTCATGATTCAGGGTTTGACCATCACAAGCTACAGTACACTGGACACACACAACACCACAGGTACAGATCTCCCTTTCTCTCATGATTTTCATCATGATTACCCATGACGCCAGACTCTCCAACAAAAAGCTTTCAAGCTAAACTAGGTCCAGTTCGCCCCAAGACTTGTCTGCCGTGCCCGCGGTTTTGCCCCTGACGAATAGGAACAAAGCTGTTACCCTCCAACAGAAAAGCAGGGGTCATGTGTTGCGTTATGTTGTGTTTTTCCCATTTTCAAGTTTGCATTCCCATAACAGCTCCAAAGGTACAAATACTGTAACCCCGGGGAGAGAGAGAGACACCCTGGTCAAATGTTTCCAATTAAAGCACAGCGAAATGAACTGACGGAACCTTGACCTTTCTTTTTTTCACCGCTCGCAATTACAGGATGAGACTTGACTTGTTCAGGTAGCCACATACAACAAATACGCATCATAATTACATGGTCGATCTCATGCAGGGCCAACAAACCATATCCGTGCTTGATTCGGGGTTTAAACCGCGACCGTTTTTGTGATGATCAGCCAAGATACTAGCGAAGCACGGTCAACAAAACACGCGCATCATGAGGGGAGCTCGCAGCAGCGGGGAGTTGAAGCTTCACGAGTATAATCAGTGGAGGGATATCGTGTTTCTGCACTGTTCGTGCTGAATCTGTTCTTGTGCTTCTGTTCTATTCTTAGCGATGCGGTGTGTTTGTACCCTTGTTCATGTAATGTATCACGACAGGAGCTTCGATCTTGCCATGTGCTTACCCTATAACGCATCAAGATTTGGACGTTGTGTACACTACCACCACCACTACCTGGCATCAAGGTAGTAGAAGAATTGCCTAAAAAATAAAATAATTTAGATCATTGCTTTATGCTAGCTTTAGATAGTACTTAGACTAGATACCTTATTGCACTGTCTTCAGCCTTGGGAAAATGATCCTGCTGTGTTATTGCCAAAACTCCAGGAGAAATCATCGAGAGGAATCACAACACTCCATTCCAAAATAACAAAACAGCGAGAGAATTAGAGGAAAAACGACAGTTGTACTGTTCTCAAACTCGCCAATAACGAATCATAGAGCTGCTTATCCCTCCTACCAGTTACGTTTCCCAGCACAACAGATAGTTCATCTTGAACCCAATGTTGAGGGAGTTCACGAACTCAAAACAGGAGAAACACCAAGATGCCCAGAAAACCTCGAAGGAATAGATACGGATTAACTTTCCTTTAAACATCGATCTGATTTGGTCGTTGGTACAGATCGGAAAAACGTCTGTCAATAAGTTCTCCCTGTGCCCACCAACGTTCCCTTCTTGTCACTCTCAAGAACAACAACGAAGCGGCACTGATAGATGCCTAGTTCAGGAACCCTTCGCTTGTTCACCCAACTCCAGTGCCAGGATCATGCACTCTTACTCTACTGCTAATCTGTTCGCTTTGTCTATTTATTCCCCCTTTCCCTTCTCCCCTACTCCCCCCCTTCCCCAGACGTCACCTAACCTAATCACAAACAGACCACCTAAGCATACCCAGCATCACGAATCATCATGCATTCAAAGCGTCTTGCAGACTACGTCGAGCGGCTTACACCCGCCGATCGTAAGCCTACCAAAGCATCAGAGCGTCCCTTCAACAATGCGACCGCGACTCATCCCCCTATGCTTCAACGGGGCGCAACGAACCGAATTCTGATCTATCCCGGGTCCTTCAACCCCCCTCATCGAGGTCATCTCGGTCTTTTGAGCCACGCCTTCCGTAACGCAGGTGCAGATCTCAACATCATTGCCGCGATCATCGTCGTTACAGATGACCATTACCTTCAATACAAGATGGATCGAAGAGACAACGCAATTGTGATTCCCAAAGAACAGCGCGCCAAGCTCTGGAAGGGTTCAGGAATTCCTGTTGACTGGGCCTATGTTTTTGATGGGCCTGGAAAGGAGTGGGCTCCTTTCCGTGCTAACCTTGCCAACGAGGCGCAAAAAGATGGTTTCGATATTAAGTATATCGTCCTGAACGGTCCGGATGTCATCACCTACGGCCGTGGTTTTGACGCCGAGTGCTGGGATTGCGGAGACGCAATCACCTCGGACATCTCTCGCCCAGTCGACTTTCGGTGCCCGTCTACTCTTCGCCAACTGAACGGCTGTTCCCCTTGGGAGAGGCTCAAGATCAACCGTTCTCGAATCGAGCAGGAAATTCGAGAAAAGCTCAAGCAGCAGGGAGCACCAGGTAACACTTCCCCCACAGTCACTGAGAGCGCAGAAGCTAATTTTGAGAAAGCTGTCGAACAGGCAGTTGTAGAGGCCTTGGAGACCGTGACGAACATTTGGACCTGTCGCCAACTGCTCACAAATCCCAAGGGAATTGTCCGCTTCCTCCCCGTTGAACCCGAGAAACAGATGCGTGATGCACCAAGCTCTACCAAGATCCGCATGATCATCGACAGCTCTCCCCCTGAGGATCTCGTCAAGAACCTCACAGGCATTGCTCTCAATCCAGACATTCTTGTGGAGATTCTAAAGGAATTGCCCAAGCCGATCAAGCGGGAGACCGCGGAGAAGATTGATCGCAAGGAGTTGGCAAAGAACGATCTTGAGGCGTTCAAGAAGATTGTCTGGTAGACATCCTAGGACTTTGAGATTGGCTATCATCTCTTGCTTTTGGCAGAATTGTGCGTTGAGAAGTGCTGGAGTTTACCGAAAGACTTTGCTGCCATTGGACTTTTGTAGGAAGGAAGAACTCAGGATACAGACACACTGTAGGTACGATGAATTGAATTGACCGAGACTGCTAAACCGAAAATATTCCCCCATTCCTTCAACCGTGACTGTTAAAATAAACCCGCACTCCTCGCTATACCAAGCGCCATCTCTCACGTCGTGAAAAGCTAGGACTCTCTCAAAAGCTCTAGCTTTTCACGACACGAGGGATACCGCTCAAGATGGCGAGGAATACGATCCTTCCTGGTAAAAGACTTCCCACAAGCCTTGCAATTGCCTCCTGGGTTAGGGACGTCATTGTGCTTCGCGTATTCCTTGTGCGATACCCAATAGTGGCGATTGAGTTCCTTCTTATCTGCCCCGAAAAAGCTGCAGCATTCGCACCCGAGACGAAGGTTGTGTACACGGTTGACGTGTTTGCTGTTCGGGGTTAGAGGAGCGCGATGGAACGGTTGAGGACTGACTTGTAGTGTGTGCCTAGCTTCCATAACTTATTGCAACATGAGACTTGCCCTTGTAAACCATCATCCGAGCCGTTGCTATCCATCATCAATCCCGCTTGTAGATCGGCCAGCTCGTGGCTAGCATCATAACTACGCGCATGACTCCTCTTCTAAGTCTGAGGGCTGGGAGAGGTGGACGAGCTGCTGGAGGAGCCGGGAGACGGCAAGGTGGCACAAGTAGTATTGTAATACATGTAGTCGCAGGGGATCGTTGACCCAGTCGCTGAGTTCGAACCATTGTTGTATTCTTGAGCTTGATATGCGAAAGCGCTGGGGGTGTCATGGTACACTTGGCGATGTTGCGTTGGACGCTCTGAACTCCTCAAGATCGATTTGACCTCTGGTCCATCGGTTAGCATGATTGGAGTTGGGTACGGGATTGGCCAATCGTTACCATGATCTGGAAAATCTCGTTCTATATCGACACTACTGAAGAGTTCCATGATGGAACGTGTTCAGCGGGCAGATTGGGAATTTGAAGATACGACTGGTTCCAATTGCGAACTGCGACAGACTGCGATGGCTTTGTAAAAATGTAGTATGTGTGCCCAGAGGAGTGATAATCATAGTCGTTTCAAGTTAATACAGATTGCTAGACTCGTCAGTTTATATATCTCCCGTCTTGGCATTGTATATGCACCTTCATCTACCCATCACCAACTCTTCGTTCAGTTTCAAGCTGGGGGCCGACCAACGTCGTCATCAAGAGTCCTGATCCCTCAAATGCGAAAAATAGGGTTACATCGTTGGCAATCACACAGAAAGCCTGACGGGCCGTGAGAACTGGCCAACTGATAGACATATGCATGCGTGATTGGCGAAAATCGGCCGAGATGGTGTGAAGATACTTGGATCAGATGGTGCAATGCATAGCATGGGTGATATGCACTCTTCTTTTGGGTTCTAATCAGTTCGCTCGTTGTGGTTTGGGGGGATTGTGCACAGCCTGATTTGGGTGTTGGTTCCAAGCTGTGGGGGAGAAATGAGGCTGGCTACTGATGAGACATTCTGACATTCTAACATGTATATTTTGGGAAATCATAGCTTCTATCATTGAGATTACCGTAGATCTATAAACATTTGTCGAATAACCACTCACTTCGTCGCCAGCTCCCTTGCGATAAGGCAGACGCGGACCCAGCTCGACACTTAGGTAGAGAGCTGTTCTTGCCCCCCCTCAACTTATAGGAAGATCCAACTCAACCACGAAAGGAAAATTGAAAGAACCCTTCCTCATCCCCTGAATAGCAGCATTAACAAAAAGCGTATCAACCTTCCTCCTAACCTCCATATAATCTCCTCTCCCATGCTTCGTAAACACAACCCTATCCTTCTCATACTCCTTCCTCCCCCATTTTACCTTGTCAAGATTCTCCAGCACTATTGACTCCTTCTCATCAATAGCAGTAGCATGCGAGAACTTCTCAAGTCGGCAATCTCGCCACCTAATCAGCTCAGCACCCCAGCTGCTATGTGTGTGGCCGAAGCAATGCATTAGAGGCTTTGCTTGGGCTACTGTTCTGAAGAGATCCGGACAGCCGATATGTTTTTCGCAACGGCCTTGATCGAGGATTTGCAGCGGGGGACCGTGAGTGATCATTATGTCGACTTGTTCGTTTATCTTCCAGTCGTGGCCTTCATAGATGTTGTATTGGAAACCCCAGGGATCTTCTGAAAGAGTATACGGACTCGTGTAAACGACCAGATGCGCCCTGTTGTCAAGATCGAAGTGGTGCACGCCCTCTGTCAGGTATACGATTCCGTACTCTGCAGCACTTTCCATTAAACGTGTCGCTTCTCCAGGACACCCATACTCCATCTCCACCCTCCCCATATTCGGAGGCGCTATCTCCGCTCTCATTTTCTTATAAGTAGGCTTGTCAAGCGTGAAGTCATGGTTCCCTGCAATGACAAGCTTGAGAGGAGCGTTGAGCTGTTTGAGAAGATTGATCGCGGATTCGAATTCGTAAAGTTTTGAGTGTTGGGTCAGATCGCCGCAGTGGATGGCTACGTCAACTGGAGTGAAAGGTACGCGGTCATCAGGGAACTGTTTGCTGTGCGTGTCGGAGATGATGAGGAAGCGGGTGCTGATCTTCCAGCGCGTCATTTTGATGGATTGATTTGTTTATTTGGAATTGTAAAGAAGAGTAGAACATGGGAGGATCTTTTGTAAAATGGTGACAATAATTGACATCCTGCACCTAAGATTTACATAGCGTTTAGCATCCTATAAAGCTTCTACCATATTGGGTTTTGCGAACAGAGTCAAGAGGCTACATATTAAATTAATGCGAGTCCCAAAGCCTCTCCTCAGAGAACCCTCCTTCTATGCGCACCTTTGTCCGCAATACAAAAAGATATATCCTACTTCGTCAGTATAGATAGGTATGAGTGAATGTCTTCAGCAGTATTTAAGCTCATCAAGGTGCTAAAAATACGACACATAAAGTTTAACCCCGGCAAATGGACCCTCGCTAAAACTCCCCGTAACCCCAGAATTTGCTTCAACTGCCGCGAAGATCATCAGTCTCCACGTGACGGCGCCGAACTATCGGGTTGGTCAATTTCCACTCTAACCTTCCATCATCAACAACATCATCATCACACTCATTATGCTTGAAGATGGACTCCCAATGGTTGATCGCCGCCGATTACAGGATGATGTTGACGTCACGGGGAGAGGGAAACCATGGTGCTCCAGCCTCTCATTCAAAATCACCCTCCCGCTCCTCACTCTCATAACGATATGCATGTTTGCGCCGAAATTTTACTTTCTCTTTAACCTTGGAGCTACGGATATGAAACTTACAAGCTCGATCGCTGTTTGTCCAGCGCTGGCCATGGCGCGGAATATTACGTTGTACAAAGATGATCCGCTTGTTCCGACTCCACTGCCGCCATCACATGCTGCATCCGATGGACCAGCTATCATCCACGCCTTTCAGAAATTGAGTCGTTCTACAACATGGAAAAGTGTTCAGAATATCACTTTTGAGGGAGACACTTTTGAACCTGAGGGTATTGTACGCCTTGGTGATGATCGATATGTCGTTAGTTCAGGACATTGGACTATCCCAACCAAAAAGTATGGAAAGATCATCAACGGCACAGATCGCTCTGCTGGAGCGGGAAGGGCGCATTTTATGGTTTATAATGGAAAGGGAGAGATGATTGCTGATTCGACGATTACGAATGAAGGGGATGATGAGTATCATAATGGAGGTATCGACTTTGATGGTCAGTATATCTGGGGAACTATCGCGCAATACCGTCCAAACAGTACTGCATACGTCTATCGAACCGACCCTTCGACACTCGTCCCAGAGCGTGTTCTCAACTACAACGACCATCTTGGCGGTATAGTCCACGACACACGCGCCAATTCCATCACAGCTCTGAACTGGGGATCACGTCGCGCCTCAACATGGAATCTCAGATCCGTCCACGCAGGCTGCGACGCATCGCCCTCACCAGAAACAGTCATCCAAAATCCAAGTCATTTTATCGACTACCAAGACTGCAAATGGCTCGGTCACAGCGGCTTCTACAATGGAAAAAGCATAATGCTATGCTCGGGTGTATCTACTATCGGAAATTATAATCTCGGTGGTATTGCGCTTGTGGACGTCAAGACTATGGTTCCTCTTGCAGAAGTGCCTATTGAGATGGAGAGTGCGTTGGGGGTTAGGGTGACGATGAATCCGATGGATGTTGGTGTCAAGGATGGGAGGTTGAGGCTTTATTTATTGCCGGATCAGCATAATAGTACTTTGTATGTTTATGAGGCGCAGATATAGAATAATGGTAATTGAGCTGGTGCCTGGTTATGGATACGATGACGGATACGAAAATGGTTAGAGCTTGTAGGATTCAAATGCCTGCTTACAACCAACCATATAAATATCGCTCAACTCCACAACTCTTTCACAAAATGGGTAGTTATTATTTCCATGCGTACCAATACAATGTATGTTTACATCGAATGTAGCTTATAACAATGAGCCCTCACAAACAGTCATCATCTCAAAAGATCCAATTTGCCTCCCTCCCACCAGAGATACGACACCAAATATGGAATCACACCCTCCCCTCCCGTCGCATTATCGTCCTTAGCTACGATCTTCGAATGAACCACCGCAATTTCAGATTTCTGCACACTTATCCAGCACCAATGATCCTCCAAATCTGCCGTGACTCCCGCGCAGCAGCCCTCAGCCAAGGATTCTTCTTTACCCTCAACGACTCCGGCCAAAGTGTATATCTTATCCCCAAAACAGATATGATATACCTCAACGATTACGCAGTTACATACCTAAAAACTGCAGACTCTACCGGGGTTCCAGGCCTGGAAACAGTTCTCAACGTTGGTTTTGCCTGGACTCGCTTATTCTGCTTAGGAGGATCAATCCCCCACAAGAAATGCTGGAGAAGAGGTGTAAAGCGTCTTTACATCCACATGCCGCTTCTTAAAACGCTCAATTATATCGCGTTTAACTGCTCCAAAACGAGACAGCGTGGGCTTGCGATGGAGCCTTTTTCAGAGAACACTAGAATCCAGCGGACTGAAACGCACAATGATACGTTCAAGAGGGCTTACCCGCCATGGAGCTGGGTGAAGAGTTGGGTAGAGGACGCGCTTGATGGGTGTAAGTATCAGCCTGAGCTTTTAGGGTGGAGGCTCGACCGGTCCTAAAGCTTTCTCTTCTACCAGATTATGTTCAGATCGTGGTATTTTGTATGTTCATGAGTCGTATACATACTATCCAGTGTAATGGCTGGAGCTGGTGCCTGATTGATTACGACGATGAACACGAAAATGGTCTGCAGGATTCGGATGCCTGCTTCACACCAATCATATAGATATCGCTCACCCCCACAACGCTTGTATAATCTACCTAGTCAAGCATTCTCACTCATACTTACAACAACCATATCTTTAAGTCTATAAAATGAGCTCGCACAAACAGGCAGCCCAGTTCTCATCTCTCCCACAAGAGATACGGGACCAGATCTGGACTCTCACTCTCCCCTCGCGTCGCATCTTCAGCCTCGATAAATCTCAGGATGATGAACAGCACGCCTACGCCCATACCTTCAAAAACCCATATACACTTCCATTGGCTCTTCAAACCTGCCGCGACTCTCGAGAAACAGCCCTCCGAAAAGGCTTCTTCCTCACACCACCCCACTCCAACAAAAGTGTGTACTTTATCCCAGAAACTGATATTCTCTACTTCGGCCGCGTAGAGTGTCAACGTTTAAGAAAGAAAGAATCCATCGACGTCCCCGGATTTGATAGAGTTATCAACATTGGCTTCGAATGGGCGTCTTTCTTCGAATACGACCCTGATAAGAGCATCGTCGCGACCAAGATATACTGGAGAACGGTCGTAGAGTGCCTTTTCGTCCAGATGCCCCATCTCAAAACGCTGAATCATATACATGCTGTGCCGATCGGTAAGCTGCACTATGAGTATGGGCTTGTCCCATTGCCAGCAAGGAGCACAGTTTCTTGGCAAGGCACGGTTGAGAATGGGCGTGCGTTCGTGGTTGCGAAGTGGAGAGATGTGAAAGGGTTTATTGAGAAGGCGCTTGAGGAGAGTGAACGTAGGCCTGAGATATTAGGATGGAAGATAAATGCGTCAGCAATTGGTCCAGAAGCTTTCTCTTCTCTTTTTGAAACATTTTTGATGAGTTAAGTTTTACTATTGCTTTGAAGTGGTTATTTACTCAAGCGTCAAGGAATTGGCCTCGTGTGTCAATCATATGAAGATGGATCACTCACTTCCAAGCACGTTCACCGATATCACAATAAGCACACTAATCCTTGCATTTATGATTTAAGGTTGACTGCTCCAGGACAACTCAGTTGAAGTCGCCTGCATCCACTGAACTCTAATTATCGCCAAGGCAGTGACTCACGCGTATAAAAGGCTGCTGTACCTTGCACAGTAGCCCTCCCCCCCCCTTCCTTCTTCCTACACCC